AATTACTATGCCTAGTATACCCCTACTTTGCGACAATACTAGTGCTATCTGTATGTCTAAAAATCATGTGCAACACTCACATACTAAACATATTGAAATCAAATACCATTTTATACGTGATCTAGTTAGCACTGGTATCATAAATCTCCAGTACATCAATACAGAATTTCAACTGACAAATCTTTTTACCAAACCTCTATCCACTGAACGCTTTACTTTTCTTTGCTGTGAGATCGGTCTGCGATCTCTTTCCGCCATTACTTATGCTAATGAAGACTAGTTTCGGCTAAGTTATCTTGTTTGTTGTATATTGTCTGTTGTTCTACCTTTCCATTTCCTTGTTTGTTTTGTATCTTTTCCTTCCCGTTCTTGTTTTCTGCTTTTATTGTTGATTGAGTAGTTTCCCTTTTGTGTTCTCGGTTGAGTCTTTTTAAACTCTTGTTTGCATCAGTCTTTCTTATGTGTCTTTTGTCTTTTTATTTCCTTCTTGAGTCAGCCATGGTTTATGCTTTTGCTCTACCCTACTCTGGAGTTCACTTCCATGAGCCTGTCCTTGCCAATTACCATCACCATACTCAGTCTTTTGCAAATCGTCCCATCAACCTTTCCACCATTGTTCATCTCGCTGATTTTGTACCCCTAGGGTTAGATGTGATGCCCTTCATTCAAAACCTAGGCTGGGAGTTTCTCGTGATGCTTGAGGCATCCTCCACCCTCATCTGCCCCGAAGTTGTTAGGGTATTTTTTTTCAAATCTTCGGTATTTTGATCTTCAAACTCGTACCCTCAGCTCTCTTGTTCATGGTCATATGATGACTCTCCCGCTTCACGACATCCGTCGTCTTCTCAATATTCCTGCTTTTGGAGAAGCCCTCGCTCATCCTGATGAACTTCCTTTTCTCAATTTTGATGTAGTTATTGAGGCTGTTCATCTTACTGGCCATGAACCAGATCAAGATCTCACTTTTTCTTCTTCCCTTTTGACTCATTCCCTGCAAGCCTTTCATTATATTCTCACCAGGGTATTTCTTCCTCGTACTATCTTCCTCGATCGCGTTATTCCTCTTTACTTATGGATCCTAGCCTACGCTGTTGTTGCTGTTCCTTTGGATTTCTCCCATCTGTTGTTTGGAGCTCTCCTGCTCTTCATTGATCATAATTTCCATGCTCCTCTCCCGTTTGGTGCTATGATTACCCGCCTGCTGCTAGCCCTGCCTTTGAATCTCTCGGCTTATCGCACTGAATCTCCAACCTTATGGCTAAATGCGGATGATGTTCTAGAAGATATCGGGATTGCGATTGAGGGGGAGGATCCCTTCATACATTGGATCAGCAGCGACTCAGAGGAAGATGAAGAGGTTGAAGTCGAGGAAGCACCTGAAGAAGCACCAAAAAATGAAAACAAGGCTCCTATCCCTTTGCCGTCCTTTGCAGCTGCTCTTCAAGATCTCTATGACACTGATTCTGAACCTGACTCTCTTGTTGTCTACCAGTCAGATGTCAAGTCGTCTAGTGACAGTTATGGTCCTTGATTTTCTTTGAGAGTCTTCTTTTAAGATGTTGTTTCTGTTTTTAGCTGTGTCTTGAACTCAGGGGGAGTCTTAAGTTCTGTGATGATTGTTTGCTCGGGACGATCTGTGTTGAATGTTTTTGGTTCAGAAGAATTTTATTGTGGTTATGAATGTTTGTTCAGCTCAGCTGGCTCTTGGCATATTGCCTTCTTTTCTTAAGCTGCTGATTTTTGTGCGGAAAAGACTATCTTATGTATGCAGGGGTAAAGCAATTGGCAATCTCCAACTTAGAGGGATATTGTTGGATTTAGCAAGAAGATCAAGTCGGAGATTGCTTTCTGTGACCGTTGCTCAATATCAGCAGCTATAAAAGGAAACAACAGTCTGTCAAAAGGAAGTTTCCTTTTCCTGATTCCAACGGCTAGCTCCTTGGGAGGCTATTTATACTAGTGACTCTTCTTCTTCTCATTTAACTTTGTAAAAAAGCTTACAGTGGTAGAGGGCTGAGCTAGGTAGTTACAAAGGGTTGACAAAAGCTGAGGTATAGGTTCTACTTTTGTCAAGGCTGATCAGATCAAGGGTGATATAGGGTGTTTTCAATTCTCTGTACTTGTGTTTATCTTTGCTTGTCTTTCTTTCTTCAAAATCAAAATAAACAAGGGTCGCCCAGACCATATTATGGGACGTGGAAGTAAATCATTGCACTTGGGCGAACCATGTTAAAAACGTCCTGTCTTGTTTATGTTTCTGCACCTTCTTCCTTTGCTGTGTTCTTCCTATGTGTTTTCTGGAAACTCTGGTTCTGGAAACTCTGTTTGTGAACCATCAAAGTGCAGAAGCTGATTTCGTCATCATAAGAGATTATTGAAGACTAGGCTTTAAGCCTACTTATGAATCACTCTGCTTCTCTTTTTTGGCCTGTTCGAAACCGGCTTTCTATTTGGGCTTATTTATTCAATTGGCCCATTTGGTTCGAGAAACTAAAGATAGGAGAGAAGTGGTTTTTGATCATCTTCCAAATCGAAAACCCTAATCCCCAAATCAGTAGAACCCTTTGTTCACGGTCTTTATCCGGTTTTTTTACCTCAAATTTAAGCACGAATATGAGATTGGATTGTTTGCTATCCGGTCCCCGTCCGGGTTATACGGTTCGGTTTCGGATAAAACCAAACAGTCCGGACCAAATAACCAGCTCTACTAGTGATGATATCTTAAAGGCAGAAGTGTGCAGAAATTTGTGATGTTAGTATAAATATATGTTTTTTTTTTCATTAGATAACAAGAGTTACAGTAACTCCTGTACCTTAAGAGAAGAGGGGAATAAGATTTTCATGAGAAACTAGTCACTAAAACTCGAACAAACTGTTGTCATTAATTTAGTAAATTGGTCACGTGTTAAAACAAATTCACATATATTATATAAAAAAAAACAAATTCACATATCAATGTTTCTATCGGGATCATTACTCGTGGATGATGAAAATAGGTACTAAAGACTCCATGTCGACGGGGGAAAAACTACATTGTTTTATGAATGAAAAAATGGTGTAAAAAACGTGTTCACCGACAGTGAAAGGATGATAGTCGTAAGAGGCGCAGCAAAGAGAGTAAGAAAGAAAAGTCAACAAAGACAAAATTTCCTAACCATTGGTCATCGCCTACATTAAAATACTCGAACTATATATTTAATAAACGTTGAGCTAATAATAATTAAATTAAAGTTATATATTACGTGTACTTAAGCCGGCCAAACAGTGGGCAAGTGGACACGCCAACCGGGGAACAAGCAGCTAGGCTAGTATCAGTGTATAGAAGTTAAACTAGTTCCAGATCGAACCGGTCTGATTTATTAAACAGGGGTGACTTTCTTGTGACGCCATTGCCACCTACTTCAGTTTGGCTTCAAAATAAATACATAACAGGAAAATATTTAGTTCATTTAATTTAAGATCAACTAGTACTGTTGCAATTGCTGCTTGAACAATTTATCCCGATGGGCAAAGTCTTCAGTCTAAGTAGAATATCAAAATGAAATGTGATCCATGCCCATGAAAATAAATATATTATTGGTGAAGAATAGGAAGAATAAAAGCCATTGGATTTGCACTATTGTTTTTATAATTTGTGGACGATGTTTCAAATATGATTAGATTCTCCTTTAGAAACATTTTTTTTTTTGTCTTAGGTAGTTTAGAAACATATTTTAGGTCCGTGACAAATTACGAAACATACTTTTAATTGGAAATGAGAATATATCCATTATCAATTATGCTCGAAGGGAAGGCGAAAACTAATGGCGCGTGTACAATTTAGACTTTTAGGTAATATATAATTAGGTGGGTTGAATAAAATGTGAGGTTAACTTCATTTCATCATATAGAGAATAGAGAATTGATTTACCTAGTTCCGTTGTTCAATTGAGATATGATTCTGATTGTATTATTTCTTCTACGTACCATGGCGATACACTCTGCATTCTTTCTTCTATGGTAGCAATTCATTCCTTATGTTGAATTATCAAGGAATTGGGTGAATGTATTAATTTAGAGAGAAGAGGAAAGCTAAAAGAATAAAAAAAAATTTTTTGTACCGATTCGATGTATATATTATACAATTAAACTAACTTTAAAAATAAAATTCGTAACCAATTTAATTGATACGGTTCGAAGCGACCTATCTAGTCAAGAGAAAACGAAGCCGTTTCCTCGATCAACACCCTACCTAGAATTAGGAACAACAATTATGTTGATGGGACTTGAATCGGACTATCATGCATCAGCCGCCACGACTGCAAGTCACGGGGTATGGGTCGATACACGTTTGGGTTGTCAGTTTTGGGCCTGGTCTGTAACCGTTTCCTTTACCAAATTGGATTAGATTTAGACCCACATGGAGTTTCCCATACAAATTAATTAATTGTGTGAACACAATTATTAATTTGATAATTTCTCTAATTAGAAAACCCTGTAGCAGCCTTGCTGTTGGCTTTGGGCTCCTGTTTCCACCACGAAATTAACTGTCTCTGCCTATAAATGACAAACACAATCAATTTTAGGGTCCCTTCATCACCTCCAGTATCATTGCGGCCACTTATATATATAATAACAAGCAGTCAATACCAATACTATCACACAGCAGATCAGAATCTCATGTTACCCTAATCCTCTCTGGAAGAAATATCATCAGAATCCCAAAAGAGAAGAAATAGTAATAATCAGATCTTATGTTCCCCCACGATTCATACCAGCAAAGTAGCACTCACCATGATCATGGCGGTGAAGAGGATCCATCATTGATCTTCTTCCCACCAGACTTCACCACTCTTCCTTACCCACAATCACCGCCACCTCTACTGCCACAAGATCTCATCACCTTCCAGACCGCTCCTGCTCCACCTGCGGATCCGGCGGGGAACCCAAATTTCGCCGCCGCACAGTTCCCGGATCCACCGCCGGCGGTGGCTGAAGACGTGCCGGCCACAAGTGGTAATATGAGGAAGAACATAATTCACAGGGAAGTGGAGCGCCAGAGGAGGAAAGAAATGTCCACCCTTCACTCTTCCCTCAGAAACCTCCTTCCTCTCCGCTTTGTCAAGGTACAAATATGGATTCTTATTATATCATTTCCTCATGTTTCGTATCGGAGAAATTGAAACTTGAGCTTTGACATTGATGTGAATGAATCTTTACTTCAGGGAAAGCGAGCGGTGTCGGATCATATGCAAGCGGCTGTAGAGTACATTAGAGAGCTCCAAAGAAGGACGGATGAACTGAGCAAGAAGAGAGATGAGCTCAAAAGCGGTTACGGTACCGGTAATAGGGATGATCAAGTTGGCTCGAGCAGAAGAAGTAATGATAGTGCAGTTAGTAGTAGTATAGTTATGGTTCGTCCATGTTTGATTGGAGTGGAGGTGGCGATTAATGTTAGTAGTAGTAGTAGTAGTGGACGTGGAGGTCAACAAGGTGGTTTGCAGCTGTCTAGGGTTGTGGAGTTGCTGATGGGACAAGGACTCGATGTTGTAACCTGCGACACTGTCAGAGTGAACGATAGATTCATTCACACCCTTCGATCCAAGGTGGGTAAGAAAGCTAGCTAGCTATAGTTTTAACGAATTACTGTATTTGCCTGTTTTTAGGTTATGTGGTAGATTGAATGGTTGCTTGTTTTGAACAGGGAAGTGATCCCTCCTCGTGCATTGATGTAGCTGCGCTTCAAAGCTTGCTCACCAGAGCTAGAGCTATGGGGTCATTAGGGAACATCCGACGAACCGATCGAAGCACGTAGCAACTAGTGTTAGTTGATTGATTTCTGCCGAGCTATGGGGGTGATCATGAGGTTTGTTGTCAGCCCTTTTGGCCGCTTTGTTTTCTGATATATGTAAGTTGCATGTCCTTTTTTTAGCCTTTCTGTCGAGCTATTTCATATGGATGGGTTGTTGTTGTGTAAGCCTTGAATGAGGGTAATAAGATGATGGGAACCATAGTGGTTGCCCAATTGGTACCATGGAATGCTCACCACTTCAATGTTTTGTATGCAATGCATGCATTTTGGTGCATCAATGATCCTTTGATCAAATGCCCTTTTTCGTCCTGCCAATTTCAATATTTGCCTTAAACTCCTCGGTTGTATTGGAGATTCTGAGGTCTAGCTTAAATCTGTGGGGCTCTAATGCATTGTATTATACTTGTGATGTTATATGGACAATATTGTGTTTTGCTTCTACGAATTCCATGTCACTTTGACTTCCTTGCGCAATCAGAATTACTCGGCCTTGCAATACATTCTATGTTACGTTGTTTGAGAATCAACCATGCATTTGCAAGTGTATTACGTTAGAGCTCTAGTAAGGGTCCTTATAATCAACGTACATGTGCGAGGTTTTTTAACCAACAATATGTACGAGGTTCGATATGGACTTGATTAATTTCTAGAGAATGCGAGTTATGCCATGCATGTCTGGTGATTGTGCGATCATTCTAGTGTGAGATTCAACCTACTTCTTTTACTCCAAGGGATTGCTATGATTTCACCTTGACCTACTACCAAAATTCCATGTATTAATAAGGGCTTTGTTAGAATTTATATCTAACTAATACGATTTCTTCCAATCATTCGAATTAAATTTTCTATCAGAAAAGAAATTTATAGGTTGTTTGGATGTAATATTTGGGACAAATGATCCCACATATAAGTTTTGGCTGAAAAATGTTGATATTTCCCAAATGTTACAAATTCTGGCATTGTGAAAAATACTAGGAGGGGTTAGTATTCTCAAAATTTCATGGTATTTCTTGTTTTGTTCTCAATTTGAATCCAAAATTTTCCTTGCTTTTTGCTTTACAAATTCTGAACTTCCCCTTTCTCATAAATTTTTAGATACTTCATTACCATTTTTTAAATTTTTTTAATAATACTAATATAATAGTACTAATTAATCACCCTAATTACATTTTTTATCCTTAATTACCATTTTATGGGTCATTAGTTAAGCTTTTAAAGTATATTTAACAACCGTTGATCCCGATTTTCTTCCACCTCATAACAATTCCTCATCGACCCTCTCAGCATTATATATAAAAAAAACAATACCTCATCGACGTTGAAAACTACCTTATCAAATTACAAACCCACTTAATTTTGATTAAAGTGATGGTACATCGCTAAATCATCCCAACTCAAACTCGTTTAGATTGAAAGAATTGTCTTTTGTTTATATTATGAAAGGTAAAATGTTACTTGCCAAAATGTACTGAAAATGCCATGTCGCTAATTTCACTATCGCTAACATTGTCAAAGATTATATTTGATGACAAACATCACATATCAAATATCATAAATTGGTTATCTTGCTAAACATTACAGAGTTAGCACCATGATAACCATGAATTGTACTATAATGCAATCATAATTGTACTTATTGTTTATTTAGTTGTAGTCATTATTTTGCCCTCGAAATTTTAGTCTTTTTTTGCAATGATAATCATTGTTTTCATAGTCGTAGAACTAGCAGCAGACTACTACAACTCATATTCAGAATGATGCTAACTCTATATAAGATTAGCAGAATATTCGACACCCAAATAATATAAATCGTGGAATGTGATACGGATGTTGTATTTACTATCACTTGGTAAAAACTCTTTAGGTTTTGGTGGTTATGACCAAAGTTGTAAAATAGTGAAAGATTAGAAATAACTCTTCCCCACCAATATCATTGGACTTTTTTTTCTAAGGGCACAATGTTTGAGTTCCGAATAGAAATAACTCTTTCCCCCCTCTCTCCTGCCTACATTTGGTTGCCCTTTTCCTTTTAGGGTTTAATAAGAACAACCCATAAAGTAGAACAAGAGTAAAGTTGAACACACATCATTATTGGTTCATGAATATTTGAACTAAGCAAAGGAAAGAATATCGTACGTATCTCACCCACTACCGTGCTCTCCATCTTATTATGGCCGGTAAGGTGGTGTTATTATATATCGATCGTTGCTGTAGTTCAACAAAAGCACTAGCTTCCCTTAAAAAAAAAAAAAAAAACAAAGAAAGCACTAGCTAGCTAGGGAAATGTATCCGTTTTGGAAAGTATAATCACGCAGATTATATACGGAACAGCTAAGCTAATCTTCGTGCTTTGTATTTGTTAATACGGTCAAGATCTTGCTAATCCAATGCTTAGCAGCTCCTTAATTAAACAATGAGTGAAGGAAATCATTGTGATATCTCTGCCATTGATACTGTTTGGCGTTATGGGTACCAAACCAAGGCAAAATATAATTCTCACTAAGTAGTCTTGAATTCTACGTATTCTTTCTTTTATTTCTTTCCTTGATACTCTTAGGGTTCCAATATCTCGTGTGGTGCCGCTGGGTTTGTACTTTATATCAAGTGGTGTCAAGATGCCTTTTTCGATCTATAAGGTTTCCCATGATTCATCTACCAACCGAACCAATTGAATATAAAAGAAGTTTGTGGCATTTGTCTACGGATACATTGCATTGTTCCAAACCCGGCAACTATTTTGATTATATGTCACCTTAAAGCTGAAGCTTATGGGTTTTAAGCCGAGGCAAAAGAATGAATTGATTAGTTCAAATTATGGGAGATGTAGTGAAAACCGTAATTGTGAACAAGGGTTGGGTCTAGTGGCGCTGATTTTTAGTGTAAAAGTTGACAACCTCGTCAGACCAAACTTGCCCATTATAGGGGTCCTTACTACACAATCATTAATTTAATTATTTCACCAAATAAAACATTTAATTATGTCACTATATATATATATATATATATATATATATATATATATATATGCTCTAGCTTCCATTGAGAGAGTTTGTCGTTTAGAGAAGCCTTCAGGCAGATTTTTATTAATTGGGAAAGAAAAGTTACAATATCCATTACATCTCCATCTGTATATACTAAATACCTATACAGTACTTACAATATAATCAATTTACAATTAAACCTATGAACTAAGTAAACCTACATCTAAGTCCTCGTCGTTTCCTCCTTGGACAACTCCCCCCCGCAAGCTGGTGCGTATATATCAAGACAACCCAGCTTGGACTGCAGCTGTTGAAAAACATGAACTGGAAGAGACTTTGTAAACATGTCAGCAAGTTGATTAGCAGAGGAAACATGTAAAACCTTAATAACGTTATCTAGAATCCTATCCCTAATAACATGACAGTCAATTTCTATATGTTTTGTACGCTCATGATTGACTGGATTATCAGCAAGCTTTATGGCAGACATACTGTCAAAAAAAAATAGGAGTGGGAGAAGAAAGAGTAATCTGCAAATCACTCAAAACATAACGCAGCCACATCACTTCACAAGTTAAACGTGCCATTGCTCTGTATTCAGCTTCAGCTGAAGAACGAGAAACAGTTTTCTGTTTCTTAGAACGCCAACTAATCAAGGAATTTCCTAATAAAACACAAAAACCTGTTGTTGATCTAGGCGTGTCAGGGCAACCAGCCCAATCACTGTCACAGAATGCCTGTAATTTAAGTTCAGAATCAGCATAAAAGAATAAACCTTGCCCTGTAGTACCTTTGATGTAACGCAAAACACGTTCAGCTGCTTGCATATGCAGATCAGTGGGATTATGAGTAAACTGACTAAGCTGATGAACTGAATAGGCAAGATCAGGACGCGTATTACAGAGATAAAGAAGTCTACCTACCAATTGTTTATAGACAGAAGGGTTAGAAAGAACCTTGCCAGCAGTAGCAGATAGTTTGGTACCTGGAACAGAAGGAGAATCACAAGATTCTGCACTGAGAAAACCATAATCTGTTAACAAATCCAAAGCAAACTTTCTTTGATACAACAGAATACCCTTATCAGTCCTAGCAATTTCAAGACCAAGAAAGAATTTTAATTCCCCAAGATCCTTAATTGTGAAGGTCTGATCAAGCTGTTGTTTTAGAGTAGTAATAGCTTTAAGATCATTTCCAGCCAAAATTATGTCATCAACATATACAAGTGCAATGGTAAAAGACTTGTCTTGACTACGAACAAACATAGAGTAATCAGCTTTGGACTGTTTGTAACCAACAGAAGTTAGAAAATTGGACAACTTAATATTCCATTGACGACTTGCTTGTTTTAAACCATAAATTGATTTGTTAAGACGACAAACTGGGTTTTTAAACCCAGGAGGAACTACTAAACCTGGAGGAATCTTCATGTAGACCTCCTCATCAAGGTCACCATGAAGGAATGCTGTATTAACATCAAGTTGATGCAAGTGCCAGTTGTTAATTGCAGCTAATGATAGTACAAGTCGAACAGTAGTGTGTTTGACTACTGGTGCAAATGTTTCTAAGTAGTCTAGACCAGGAGTTTGAGTATACCCCTTTTCTACTAGGCGAGATTTAAACCTTTCTATGTCACCATTAGAAAGAAATTTAATTTTGAAAACCCACATGTTCCCTATGGCAATCTTACCATCAGGTAATTCGACAATAGTCCATGTATTTGTTTTGTCTAAGGAAGCCAACTCAGAATTACAAGCTTCTGACCACCTAGGATCCTTAATGGCTTCTTTGTAGGATATAGGTTCTATAATAGCAGAACTGGCCAGAATGTATT